ATTGAATTTCAATCGATTTGCAAACGGATCTTCTTGGTGGTGGGAGTTTGAACAAGCATGATTGTTTATCACGTATGGGGAGGATGTGCAGAGTTTTTGTGATCAGAAGTAAAAAATAAGCATCGCTAAGGTTCATACGCGAACCGAACATGGTGGAACAATTGATGAAGAGTCAATATTTTAAGAAGTCCAGCTGAGCTGAAAATGCAACGAGAATTCAAAGTGGAACAGAGTAAACGTGACTATGAAATGCAACTTGCACTTGTGCGGGTATAAAATACTCCCATTGAAAGCCATTTGTTCTGCTGTTTGATTGGACTGTAATGTTAGGCATGATATGGTTGTAATATTCAAATACCATCTGCAAATTGCTGATAACTGTGGCTATATTCCTTCAATAGTTCAAATCATTTCCGAACGTGCCACTCACGTCAGAGGTTTTCACTAGGGAACTGAAGAAGGTTCAAGATATATGAAGGCAGTGACAATAGCCTAGCAAGTTCTTCAGCACAATTTCCAGCCATTTTTGCGGGATAAAGGAACCCTGATTAATGCAGAAATGAAATTCAGGTCGAACTAGGCAAGCTACCATACATGCAGCTGGAACAAGCCAAGATTTTGAAGAATTTCAATGAATTAATGTTCAATTATCATTCGCTGATCGAAACGACTCTTGTTAAATATCATGCTGATAAAGTTTAAACGATCTTTCGCTGAATATATACGCCGTTGAATTGGTGATATCGATTCAATGATAACTTGTTAACGAATGAATAAAGTTTTTTCTCCGCTGTTTGGTGTCCTTTTTTTTAAATATTTAATTAGGAAGATGATTTATAAAAGCGCCTCAGCGCTGGATTCCGTTGATTTATTGCCCTTTAAAGTATTGACCATTTGAGGATTCGGATTCATCCTTTGAGAAGGAATCGTCTTTAGGTAGAACAATCGTAAAAGGAATAATTGAAGTGTGGAAAATCAACGGATTTGATTTCTGATAAGTATTATCATGTTGATCATTTGGAATGATACTAACATGAGTAGTAATGTGAGGCAAGTGTCGCTGAATGGACTTCTATGCTAGCTTGAGTGTGTGTTCAGGGATTTTCTTATTACCTGGATTACCTGGATTGGCCAGGCTATCAAACGTTTGTAACGTTGCTGGCCACAATGCTCGCGTTTCCGTTCGCACTGTTTTAGCCTTGATTGTAGCCACCCCGCTGGCTAGGCGAGCAGGCCAAGTGAGTACAACCGAGTATTTAATTAGTTGCCGTGAATACTTTGCACAATTAAACGTAGCCAAATATCAATCCAATAAATATTCATAAGTCTACAAAATAAGCATTCCGCCGATCGCTAACCGCGATCAACAAAACAACCGCTCGATGTGTAAGTAACAATGATAATTATTCGTCCATGACTAAATCCTCCAGTCGATGCATAAACCACTCATAAAAACTACTCATAAATTCATTTGGCATCTCATCCGATCTTGACCGCTAGAGTGAGCGCTCTTTTTCGCTGACACTCTAGCGTGTTTCGCAAATTTTCTCTT